CACGCTTTGGTGTTTCACCCTTCAGTTATGCATAAAGCATACATTCTGAAAATATTTTAGACTGATTTGTTCTTCTCTACCAGCAATCAAAAAATACAGTATTTGGTGTAGATCTTCAAGACTACTGCATTTTCTTGAGGCATCATCTAGTATGATCATGGAGAATGTACATTATAGGAGTTGTTGACTAATAAAAGTGGTATAAGTGCTAATAATGTTATCATCAGTATATATGTGGGGGACCTTGCTTACTTTTTAGTACTGTGAACATTTTACTACAGATTATTATGGCTACTTCTGTAAATTATTATAATGTTTCATGCTGATGCTTTAATACAGTAATTGAAGATACTTGCTTCAGCCCTTTCCTTACTAAGAGGCAGAAAGAAAATTTGCATTTGCCAATGTGTAGGATTTTTCCCGTGTGAAATAGACATTTTAAAATAATGGGGAAAAAAAGGGAAGGTTTCTGTGCAAAATTTGTGGAGAATCTTGTTTTCTAGGTCTGACCAATTCCTGACCAATGAAGGACAAATGGGTCTCAAGCATATGAAGCCTCTTCTTAGAAAATGTGAAGATTTAGCTTTCAATGATAACTCAAATGATTGTCTTGGAAAAGGTTTTAGAAAATATTGTTAATTTATTATTTTGTAAGCTGCCTGTGTGCATTAAGTGCAAACAGCAAAACATGGAAGCGTTGTCTGTGGCCTTATTAAGCAGTCATTCAAATGCAGGGAGTTGCTGCCACAGAAGCAATTAGACCCCGGGGGTTTTGGTGTTTGAGTTTTTGTCACAAATGCTTTGCCATCTTTTCCTATAGAAATGTGTGCAAACATCTCTATTGGTCCATGCTTGAGATTCCATATTCAACTTTAAATAAATTCGACCTGTTTCTCATAGGTGTGTAAGCTCAGCTCACTTTTAATCAATGTAAAGTTTTTAAGACCTTACTGTATGTATTTTTTCTTTTGTATAAACATACTAAAATGCACTGAAGTGACAAAGCCTGGCAAGATTACAGTGCTGTGACAGACATCATCAGCTTAGCTATGACATAACAGCAATCAGTCTCTAAATGAAGTGAGTCTGTTTTTACTTTTTTTGAATATATGCTTGAAACATTTGGAAAGATAACTATGTATAGCAGCCATTATCATCATGCAGAAGGTGTTGTCCCGCCTGCAGGCCTGCTCTATCAGTGCTGTAGAGCAGCCTGTACAGATGGGTTTGTCTAGTGAAATCTAGGCTCAGGAAATGGACTGCTAATCTCTCATCTGCCAGAGCCTGTGGCACACTGGCAGATCAGCACACTTCATGCTACAGATTAAAAGTACTGATGGACACTGTTCTTTAATGCATCTTCAATTGATGCAGTGGGAATCTGTCAGTGGAAAGAGACCAAATAAAATACAAAAGAGAGGAGGGAAAGCAATTAACTTTAAAAGAATCTAACATGGAGACTGTCAGATTTAAAACAAGATTTAGTGTCAGAATAAAACAGTCCCAAATGTTTATATGAGTTGGTCACCTTTTACTTGTCATTGATTCATCCAGCATATGGCAGCTATAGTTCTGTGGGCCATTCTGAACATTGCACTGCATTGATTTGTGTGGTAAATGGTGTTTTAATAATTTTGGGGAGGACATGGAAGTAGACTAGTAGTCAAAGCTAAATGTTCTAACCTTTTGAAAAATAATCACTGGAGTACCTGAGGATCATAAAATCACAGAATGTCCTGGGTTGAAAAGGACCACAATGACTATCTAGTTCCAGCCCCCCTGCAATTTGCAGGGCCACCAACCACTAGACCAAACTGCCCAGAGCCACATCCAGCCTGGCTATGTGGTTAGTAATTTGTTTCATGCCAGTGTGCATGTGCTAGGAACCAAACATGAGCTTTGGAGTTGCTTTGATACAAGAATGTCTGCCTTCAGAGGTTTATGGTGTTATCATGTATGATAAACTCAGAGAAACTCAACTCAGCTGACAGAAACTTCCATATGCTTGGAGAAGCAAGTAAAATGACACACAGCAGCTGCCAGCCTAAGCATTTAAACAGAACTGAATGGTCCCAATGCAAAGATGATGCTTTATCTTTTGACACTATTTCTGAAGAAGCTGTAAAGAAGCATTGTTTAATCTTTTCAGTATATAAAACACAGATGATAGATGTCTAACAGTGTGACATCTGGCAACTTATGAGCAATTCTTCCTTCAAAATACACATATGACTCAATTGCAAACATTAAGCATTAACTAGCAAAAGTGGCTACACAAAAAGACACAAAAATAAATTTGATTGTTTCCAATGCAGGATTTTAATGCAAGTGCCACCAAAACAAAAATAACATTGAGAAATGGGTTTTAAATTTGTGTTTTATGGGAGAAGAATGTCTTCTATTTGCTCTGTATTAGTAAGCTAGTATCATGAGTTCATGAGATCAAAATTCAGCAGTAAGCTGAAGATTTCCTGCTTTAACCCAGCTTGAGATGATACTGTTGATCCTAACAGGGGCTCAACACTCAACTAATGAGAAATTGGTCTCTATCAGGTCAAAAACTTCAATTCAATGAAGTTTTTTGTAGTGACAGTCTTTTTTGTGCTCTATTTGAAGGCCACTAGGCCACTAGATATCCACTAGTCAACTACTGCATGGAGTAAGGAATACATTATTGGAAAAATCCTTTCATAAATGATTAAACGAGGATGTATTCAACTTTCTGTAAATCAACACAGGGTCCAAGGTACTTCTATCCAGATCAGGTGCAGTGCCAGGGTGGGTGTAATACAATACATGTTAATGGGCATGACTGAGATACTGAGGACAGTAAATAATTACCTGCATCCTCTGTGAAACAGAAACACCTTTAGAGATACAGATTTACAAACTTTCAATTTCTTACTGAAATTAAACTACTAAAAAGAATAGTAGGCAAGAAGACACTACTGCATGAATCTTCACTGTAGGGCAGACATAAAAAACACAGTCTACCCAACTGCTTGAAGGACTAACATACAAGTTTACAAAACTAATACGTGAATTTATATTGCTGTCACTAGTCAAATTTTCTACTCTCCATCAACAACATTGTAGGTAGTGGCAGAAGCTGAGAATCTGTTATTTTCACAGCATTGATGTCTTAGTCTCAGATATCACCTCTGTTGAGTGTTTGTTCACGCTGTTACGTTTTGCAGTAGAATTAGTAATGTAGAAATGGAGGCAGTAGTTGTGAAATCATATTTTCTACTTATTCAGCAGCCTGCCATCAAAACACAGGGTTTAACACAATAAAGTTTGTTCTCATACTATCTGTCTACTGTTTGTCAGTGAGGTATGTTGGATGAATGTAACTATCCAGCTTCTTGTGCTTTCTGGTATCTGCTTGGTTGAATCACGCTGTGACTGACACTGAGACACATTAGTGGGAGGATTGTTTATGAGAAGAAGGGAAACAAATTTGACACTTGAGTTTACAAGGGAAGTTGTTGCTGGAGCACAGATGCTCACTGCCACCAAACACTCACAGCTGAGGTCAGGGAAATCTGTCAGGGAAAGCAAAGCAGCCTTGAAGCAATGCTATTTTACTGGCTGGCAGAAGAGAGCACACATGAATTACTGTTACAGCTGAGCAGAGAGCTTACCTCTTTCCTTTACTTCCTTAGGATTGCCTAACGTCCTTTTTTTTCACAACATGTTATAATGAGACGTGCAGAAGAGTTCCTCTCCCATCTCCCTCTCTCCTTTGTTTCCTCAGAGACCTACAGTCTCTTCTAGGGACTGGTGGCATTGACAGCATCAGCCAGCAGCTCTCAGACTATGTGGTCCCATCTGATGTCCTTTTACACTCCCTGGCAATTGTTTTTATTGTTCTCGTGTCATGCCAACATGCTATATTTTGTGCTTTTGCATAGAGCAAGGCATGGCTTTGAAACAAGCTTGATCAGCACAGAAGTACTGTCAAACAGTAAATCTGGGAATGGGGTAATTTAAAAATACATATATTCCTGTGCTGTGGATATCCTATGACAAAAAATATTGATAAAATGAGTTTTTTGGGGGCTAAGTTGGGCTGTGCCATTGGCTAATGATGCTCTGGCAGAAGAATACATGAGATACTTGGAAGGGAAAAGGAAATTGTGGAGAAGACTGAAGAAAATATATAAAAAGAATATGTACCATAAAAGAGTTAGCTTTCAAATACAGCAGTTTCTTGAGTAAGGAGAAGGAATTTATAGGAAGACAGAACATGCACGAAGGAAGAAGCTGGCAGAGATCTGTGGGGAGAGAGAATAGGGAACATTAGATAGGGGAACAGCAAAGACTGGAGATCAAGGTCGAGAGAAACAGATTAAAGCAGTAAGCCAAAGCAAAAAATACATTTTGAAGAACCACAGTGAGTCATTTCCTCCAAACAGAAAGAAAGGTTAGAGGTAAGAAAGGTAGAGGAAAAGATACATGCATTTGCACAGGTGGAAAGAACAGTTTATACAATAAAATGGAAATGAAATAAGGAGAATGAAGTTGCTCAGTAAATTCCTGTTGTTGGTGAAACATGATATGCTTTCACATCAGAGGGAATCCTTCCTTGATGGCTCTCTCTGTAGCTACTAAATCCTGTAAGAGCTGTAATTCCAGGCTTAGCCAAAGGACTTCTGGTAGGGAAAACACTTGAAGAGAAGGCTGCTGTATTATAAATGATAACTATCATTTAATCATTGTTTAAAAAGAAATGTGAAATTAAATGGTAGAGATTTACCATTTACTGCTATTTAATATGTGCATAAAAGCTAGTGTGTTCGGGGGATGTTAAGCCAGTGATAAGTACAGAAATAATGAATGCTTTACATCAGCAACACACAGCAGATGCCTTGTTGACTGAAGCACTGTTTCCTTTCTGTCTTAACACTTTTGAACATGATTCTTGGAGGAGAGTGAGCATTTCCTTCACAGTGAGGAAGCTTAGTGTTTTATGTCTGTGCTTTTCTCTTTCCTTTCAGGGATCTCTTGCTGTCTGTGGCTCTTGGCCAGGTACTCTCGCTCCTTATCTGTGGCATTGGACTCACAAGCAAGTATTTGTCAGAAGATTTCCATGCCAACACACCTGTTTTTCAGAGCTTCCTCAATTATATCCTTCTATTCTTGGTCTACACAACAACACTAGCAGTCAGACAAGGTAAGTGTCTACCTATGAAACTCACAATGTTTTGTGTAAGACAGTGATGATGAAACTTTTTCAGAACAACAATAAATGAGTTATGCTTAAGTGTAATTCAGACACATCACAGTAATATTTATAGTATATTTACACTGCCTAGTAAAGTACATTAGATAAACTAGAAAAAAAAACCAAAACACCTAAATCTTTATTAATAAAGAATGAACTGACAGATTCAGGAGTAGGGTTAGATTCAAGGATAGGGCATCTACCTATATGCAGAAAAGAAACACCAGTACTTTTTACATCCTAAATATTTTTTTTAGGAATGCTCTTCTTGCTGCTCTGTCACCACAGCCACACATTCAGGGTTTGTTTTTGATCTAACTGCATGTCTTACTGGGAAATATTAGTATGCTCTACATCTTATGTAGGCTAAGGAGAGCTCAGAAGCAAGCAAAGAAGAGTTTGCTTTTTCTAGTTGCTTATCAAAGAAACTCAGTACTTCACCAACTATTAGCAGCCAATTTTGAGTGTTTTGGAAGTAGGAGGTAGAAGGAAGGAATTTGGGATGCTGTCTCTCTGAGATGCTGAGTGGGCAGAGTAGTTCTGTAGCCCTGCTGCTGCTCTGGGACAGGGCTTGTGTAAGCAGTCAGGCCCCCCAAATGAGAAACGCATCTAAGTGCACTTCAGTACCATTTGCCAAATGATCCTCTATTTAATAGTTGGTCTATAATACAGGTTTTTGGTGCTTTCCCTGCCTGTCCCTTCCTTCTCTGTGATTTCTTGTTTAGATAAAGTATGGGAAATTAACACATTTAAGTACATTTCTCATCCACTCATTTTTTCATAATTGTATTATTAATTCATCTTCACAAAACACGTGGATTAGAAGCTATTGGGGAGCTGTTAGGTCACAGCTTGAACTGGTGATTGAGCACCTGGCGAAGGGGTATCGTTGGCTCAGGGAGCACAAGCAAACTGCACCTGTGCTCCCCACATGACCAGAAGAAGTAGACCCACACACAGTGAAGCCTCCCTAGGCTCTCACAAGGGCTAGCCACTAATGGGAGAGTATTTCTTGGACCTAGGCTGTTTCTTCAGAATGATTGTTATGCAGTCAAGGAGCTACTTCACCAGTTATGGGTGAGTTCAACTTACATTTCTGTGTATGACTACCCGTGAATACTTTGCCTAATATTGTCAAGACCCTGTCAGAAGCAATTTTGCTTCTTCGTGAGCAGAACAGGAGCAAGATAAGAGAGCAAAAACATTACTTGCTTTCCTGATTGTCCTTTCCTGGTGGTAGGAGGGAAGGGCTCTGTCAAGGAAAAGAACTAGAATGTGTCTTAGGCCCCAGAACATCTATTAGCATATTAAGGTGCTCACATTTTTTATAGGAGCAAATAGTTCTGAATTGTTCTTTGATAGTAGATCTTTGTAATGATTTGGGATCAGCCTGGAAGCTTAAGTTCTTTAGTCAAGATAGTAGTGGATATAAGCATGATGTAACACTAAGTATGGAAGTGTTTCAGAACAATAAGGGCTTCATTCCTGTGGGGAAAAAAAAAAAACAACAACCAAGCATTAAAAAGATACTGCTGCACTACAGCAGAAAATGCTAAAATGTACTACAACTGGAGTTTTACAGAACTTACTCTATGTTGATTGTTGTTAATAAACAATGGAGGTCAGGCAACTGAGGAAATGTTACCTCTTCCATAAGGAAGAATTGCTCAGGCATTGTGTTAGTCTTGGAATTTCAGTTGTGTAGTCTTGGAATATCAGTCATGTAGGGCAATGCCACATGCTTTTCACTTCAGTAGGCTTTAAATGTGTATTAGTAGCATCTTCCCAGAGAACTGTGCTTGGAAATAATTTTTCTGAATGTAGGATTGCCTAGATGTTTGCAAATTCTATTCCAAAAATGTTCTCCTCAGGACTGATATAGATTTTGTGGAAGCCAACTTCCTGTGACCTTTAAATATATGTATTTCTTTTAAACACAGAATTGTGGGAGGATGTATGGGCTAGAAATCTGCTATGTATTAGAGGCTTGTTTAGAGTGCTGTTTGATGTCCAGTATACATTTGCTTTTTAATAACACTATCAAGCGTTATGTTTTACACACACACATAAAAATACTTAAGATTTTACTTTATTAAGTGACTTTCTGTTTATAAATGCAGTGTCTGATAAAAGAGAGTTTGCTGGAATGCTCTTTAGTTCCAGGAAGGTAGGTGTGGGAAGTGAATGGTGAAGTATTAGCGTAAGGTCAAAAATATGTTTTGGACAAATGAGAATGGTTGGGGAAGATGTTTGAAGAGGCTTGCAGTTGAATATAAAGTGTACAAACAATCAGAGCACAACATAATGGGTGACAAAGGAATAGTCTGTAAAAGGGCTGTCGGAAGAGAGCTGTTTAAAAAAAAAAAAAAAGAAAGATGGTTTGGCTTAGTGTCCAAAAAAAATCTAGATCAAAATTAGCTACTGAAGTAATGAACTCCACTGTCCAGGCACTCACCGTAGCATTAATGCTGAATGGCAGAGCAATGTACAGCCAACTCATTAACTCAGCACTTAATAATGCCAAATGATTGAGCTTGGCATTCTTTTTGCTTGTATGTTTACTCAAATTCGTTATCTATGTTTGTTTCACTAAGGCAGTTTTTCCAGCAGCTCTAATCATTTGGCTTCATTTTCAGGTGGAAATCACGTAAGTTATATTGCTTTTATATGGACTGATTTTGTTCTAAGTGCCAGGAGCAGCAGAAGGTGTTTTTTATCAATTGCAGTTCTTCTATATGCAAGGTTTAAGATTTTTAAATTATCCACTTTCTCCTTCAGAAATCAAACCATTGAGGTTGGCTGATAGTCAAAAATAACTGTATCCCTTTGTCTTTCTCTTTGCTTGCTTTTCTAGCCTCTGGGCTTTTGCAGAAATGTACTTGCCAAGAAACAGTCACTTGAGGTGGCTAAAGAAAACCTTAATTCTCTGTCGGACTCAAAGCTGTAATTTTCTGAGACATGTGGAACTCTGAAATTTCCATTAAATGAAATGTCTGGTATCTAGATAATTTTTTTTTTTTTCTATTCTGGGTACTCTTGTGCTCATCTTAATTCTTTTGTTATACATAAACTGAAGTTACTGTTTCCCTGAAGGTATTTGTGCAGAGGCTCTTCACAGTGAGGCGTGCATATGCTCAGATGTGCAGAGAAGCAGGTAGTCACTTATCCACATGCGTGTACCCACTATTGCTTCTAGTCAAATACTCTTTAATGCACCAGCATTGATGTCCTGAGGTCTGAATATAATTTTTTAGTTTTCTTATGAAAACAATGCTATAAAATTTGTCACTTGCATTGTTTCATCTGATTGATATCAGCCAAATATTGAATAACTAGTAAGGGAACCCTCAGTTCTTCCTCTTGAGGTAAATTCTTCTCCTGCCTGTTTTTACAGCCAAAGCCTATGTTTGTCCATGTTAACACCTCTGAGTTGACAAGAAGGTTTTAGCACGTATTAGCTCAGTCCCCTTGTCAGAGGATTCTGCTTAGTAAGATCTTGTTCAGTATGCTACCTGATAGTCCTCTGGGTTGTATGTTATTACAAACTGAGGAAAAGGGACTCCTTGGCTATCAGGAAGAAAAGCCTTCTGTCAGTGAAATGAAGCTATGTGACATAGAACTGGTGGAGATAGTTTTAGCACCTTAAAAAGCAGTAAGTGGGAAATGATCCGTAGTGGACCAGAAGGTGTTAATTATGAACAGTCAACATGAGTGCAAGCATCAGCAGCATGCAGCCAAAAATACATTACTTCTAAAAGCCACTTCATGTATGCTACAAATGAAAACAATTCATCTACTAGGTGTTGTTGAAGAAGAAAAAACAAAAAAAGTGAAGCTATTTTCTTATTATCCTGGAGCACAATGGATAAGTGGGCTGAGGGAGCATTAAGGGTGTGTTTTGAATGGAAGAGGAGCATAAAACCTTAAGGGTCAAATTCTGCATGAGTAGCATGCCACAGTGCAAGTTCCTTTAATTTCAGTGCAATAAGTTAGTGTTTTCCAGCCATCATTTGAGAGAGCTGGCAATAATTTGCTAATTCAGAATAGGTTTCGTGAAATAGGTTTTATGGATAGATGAGTTCTGCTTCTAGACTAAGGTTATAGCATACATTAATGCGAACATGGCTTTCACTAGAGTTACTGTAATGTCTTAGATTTGACAAATAATCAGATCCAGTCTGTGCCTCCAAGTTAAATACAGAGCCTTATGAGTCTCTTAAAGATTGCAGTCATGTCACTGGAATTTGATTTCTTTTTATGCGTTTTTGTCTTGGACTTGTTTATGATCTTAGTATCTCAATCGTACGTAAATTACTGATTCATCTGCTATTCAGACATGCATGGGGAGGAAAAAATGACTGTAACATCCTTTCCACTTCCCTTGAATAACTGAAATGGGATACATGAAAGGAAGTATGACACTTTATAGGCATTGGTTTCTTTTACTGCAGTTGTTGTCAGTTTTTTAGTGAATGATAGGAAGGATAGATGTGTCTTTATTTTCATTCAGTTTCATTCCACTAGCAGTGTTATCTCAAAGCTGGTATTATGCAGTTAACTTTGATAGACATACCATAATTCTTCAATATTAAGACCTTTTTTTTTTATGTGGGCTGCCCTTAAGAATATATTTGGGAAACAAAGAAAGTACATAATTTCACCTGATCAAACTATCTTAGGTATAAAGTACTTTGGGCAATATGTGTTGTACCATAGAGGTGAAAAGTCTTCCTGAAAGGCATCAATCTTGTCACCATTTTCAAAGACATGCCTTCAGAAATATGGGACCTCCTGTTTGTTTAGGAGGACAGGGAGTGATTTTGATTAGCAAATATACATTGCATCATTGTTCAGTTTTCTTAGCATGTTTGTGTCTCTGCTGTAGAACAAAGAGCTTGTTGATGCCTGCTGTGTTGTCCCCACAGCTCTAGACATACTGCTTTATGGTC